CAGTCAACCATGTGCCCTACCCCGAAGGCCTTCCCTGTACACCAAGGTGGTGCGTTACCGGAAGTGGATCCAGGACACCATCATGGCAAACCCCTGAGCACCCCATCAACTCCCTACTTGTAGCGAAAAAAAAAAATCCACCTCAAGTTCTGGCATCATTTGGCTATTCTAGACACCAGGCACTTGGAACCTTGGAAATGACCAGGCCAAGGCTCAAGCCTCCCCAGTTCTATTGACCTTTGTCCTCAGGTGTGGGGTCCAGGGTTGCTAGGAAAAGAAATCAGCAGACACAGGTGTAGACCAGAGTGTTTCTTAAATGGGTGTAATTTTGTCCTCTCCGTGTCCTGGGGGACACTGGTCATGCCTGGAGACATCTCACTCAGTTTCTTTGAGGACCCAGATAGGATGGGGGTGTCTGTGTTGTTTGTGGGGTACAGAGATGAAGGAGGGGTGGGGTCCACACTGAGAGAGTAGACACGTGCTGGATGCTGTCCATGAAGCACTGAGCAGATGCTGGAGGCGCAACGCACCAGACACTCACAGCAAGGATGGAGCTGAAAACATAATCCACTCTGTCTTGGAGGCACTGGGAAGCCTAGAGAAGGCTGCGAACCGAGGAGGGAGGGTCTTCCTGTGGCATGGGATGGGGATGAAGTAAGGAGAGGGACTGGACTCCCTGGAAGCTGATTCACCATGGGGAGAGGTGTGTCGAGGTCCCCCAGACAACCCTCAGATTTGATGATTTCCTAGTAGAACTCACAGAAATAAAGAGCTGTTATACTGTGGTTTATTCTGGTTTGTTATATTGACAGGAGACACACTGAAATCAGCGAAGGAAACAGGCATCTAGGTGGGGGTGTGGAGAAAACAGGGAAAAAGTTTCAGTTGTTTTCTCCTAGTGGGGTGTTGTGGACTGCACCTAAATCACACAGAAGTGATGTGTGACCGTGTGTATGAAGTATTTCCAACTAAGGAAGCTCACCTGAGCCTTAGTGTCCAGAGTTTTTATTGGGGGCCTGTAGGATAGGCACAGAGTACTGGAATAGCTGACCTTAACTTCTCAGACCTGAGGTTCCCCATAGTTCAAACAGATACAGCATGGCCCAGAGCCTCAGATGTACAAGAACAGGCATTCATCATGAATCACATGGTTAGCATGAATCATCTGGCACGGCCTGAGGACCCAGGTATACCAAAGCACTTGGGCCAAATATTCCAAGCGATTAAATGTCATCTCCCAGGAGTTATCCAAGGGTGAGCCCTGTACTTGGAAGGTTCAGGCTTTGAGCAGTGCAGGGCTTCTGAGTCAACCTTTTACTGTACGGGGAGTGAGGGAAGGGAGAAGGTGAGGAAACTGCCTGGGGATCTGGTTCTGTCTTGTTGTCAAGTGGACCATGGGGCTATCCCAAGAAGGAGGAATTCAGAAATAGGGGAAGGTTGAGGAAGGACACTGAACTCAAAGGGGATGCAGTGATTGGTTTATTTGTCTTCTCTTCATGTCACTGGTGTGAGGAATTCCCACACTGAGGTTATGAAGATGTCTGAACACCCAACACATAGCACTGGAGATAGGAGATTGACAAGAGTTTCTTAGCCACAGAGCTTCACAGCCTAGGGCAGGAGGACACTGTACACCAGGCAGGATGACACGGGAATTTCACTCAGGATTGGCTTGAAGAAGCAAGGACTGTGGGAGGTGGGCTTTGTTGTAACAAGAGGGCAGGGTGAACTCTGGTTCCCATGGGAGAATGTGATGGTCTTGTTACAAATTTTTCAAGCTGGCAGGGAATAAAACCCATCAGGGTGAGGACCTTGTGGAGGGCGGCTGCCCCGACTGATAAAGGAAGTAGCCAGGTGGGGGCCTTTCCCATTGTGGGGGTGGGGGATATACCTTGGAGATCCTTTCAGTTACAAGTACTGAGGCAGCAAATAAAATGGAATCTTATTTTCTGACTTTATACTGCTTCAGTATGAAGCTATATTTGATTCTGCACAGGGGGTGAGGGAAAGGAGGGGAGGAGGAAATTTTCTTCAGGTCTGCTTTGGGCTTGTGATCCAGGGGGCCTTGGAGCTCTTCCTGTGACATGGGACTGTTTTTTATTTTATTTTATTTTATTTTACATTTTATTTTATTTTATTTTATTTTATTTTATTTTAAAGTTCCGGGCTACACGTGCAGGATGTGCAGCTTTGTTACATAGGTAAACGTGTGCCATGGTGATTTGCTGCACCTATCAACCCATCACCTAGGTATTAAGCCCAGCATGCATTAGCTGTTTTTCCTGACATTCTCCCTCTCTCCTACTCCCACAACAGGCCTCAGTGTGTGTTGTTCCCCTCCCTGTGCCCATGTGTTCTCATTGTTCAGCTCCCACTTGTAAGTGAGAACATGCGGTGTTTGGTTTTCTGTTCCTGTGTTAGTTTGCTGAGGATAATGGCTTCCAGCTTCATCCATGTTCCTGCAAAGGACCTGATCTCCTTCTTTTTTATGGTTGTATAGGAATTGTTTTTACAAATCCAATTACTGTTGTATTTAACTACAAGTTAATCTAATTAGCATACTAAAAGAGATTAGAGAAGACATTAGGTACATTGAATGAGACAATATATAAAATAGGACCAAGGTGAAATATTAGGTAGGAAAAGTATAATAGTTGAAAAAAGTAAAAAAAAAAAAAAAAAATCAGGCATGAGTAGCAGAATGGAAAAGAGGTGAAGAACATAATAGGGACTTTTTAGACCAGATTGAAGGACAGAGACAGAAAAATTTTAAGGGACTGCTAAACCACGTGAGTGCTAGAAGTACAGTCAATGACATTAAAGTCTCAGGAGGAGAAAGCAATAGGAAAGGAGGAAGTATGTGAGTAAATTAGTGGAGACATGTCTGATGGATTTTAAAATATTTGAAAGACCTCAGATCAAAGGATACATACCGTGCCATTGAAGAGGAAGGTGGAAAAGCCAAGAAGCCAGAAGACAGTTAGAAATTTCATTGGCAAAGCTTAACTGTTAAAAGTCCTAGAGAGAAAGGATGGCAGAAATATTGGAAGGAAAGAAGGTGGAACCTAGAATATAAATTCATCCCAACAGCTTTGGTAGTGTGCACCTGTAGCGTTTTCTAGCTAATACCCTATTGTCATACATCGCCTGGGGGAGTGTAAAATGGTCTCCTTATTTATTTATTTATTTATTTACTTATTTATTTATTTATTATTATTTTTTTAATTTTTGAGATGGAGCCTCCCTCTGTCTCCCAGGCTGGTGTGCAATGGTGTGATATCACTCACTGCAACCTCTGCCTCCCCGGTTCAAGCAATTCTCTTACCACAGCTGGGTCTGGATCAGTGTAAGCTGCTCTGGTTTTATTGAACGGATGAAATCACATTTTCTGTTTTCCAAAATCTAAGAAATCTTGTAGAGTTAACAGTGGACTCTTATAACAAGAGTTAACACCAGGACTCTTATCTGAGACACCAAAATGAGAGTTTTTCAATTCCACCCAAATTCTTTTTTTTTTTTTTTTAGACATAGTCTGGGTCTTTTGCTCTGGCACTCAGGCTGGAGCGCAATGGTGTGATCATAGCTCATGGAGCCACCCTTGACCTCCTGGACTTAAGGGATCCTCCTGCTTCAGCCTCCTGAGTAGATGGGGCTACAGGTGCTTGCCACCAAACCTGGCTAATTAAAAACATTTTTTTGTTAGAGATAGGGTCTCACTTTGTTGCCCTGGCTAATCTTGAACTTCTGACTTCAGGTGATTCTTCAGCCTTGGACTCCCAAAGCACTGGGATTACTGGCATGAGCCACTCACCGTGCCTGGCTTGCAACTTAATCTTGGAGTGTATAAACCTGGCTCCCGATAGCTAGACATTTCAGTGAGAAGCAGGCATTGGATTTTGCATGAGGACAATTCTGACCTAGGAGGGCAGGTCAACAGGAATCCCCGTTGTAGAAATAGAGTGCACAGGTGTGGAGAATGAGGAGTGAGGAGCCACTGGAACCCCACATTGTTTAGTGGACATTAGATTTCGAAATAATAGGGAACTTGGTCTGGGCGACTCGTATTTCTGGATTGGAGAATCCAATCTCCAATGGTATCACAAGGTTTTATGATGAGAGGAGAAATATATGTGGGGAACTATTTTCTGAGTGTAGAAGTGCAAGAATCAGAGAGCACTGAATGCCGAAGCTTCTACTTCAGGAACATGGTGAGTTGGAGCTCCAGCTTCTGGGCCTAGACTGGTATAGGAACCAGAAGGTCTCACAATCCCATGGTTCTGATATTTCAGGGCATATTAGGTCTTGGGGTGCAAAGGAAGTACTTGGGACTTAGGCACATGAGACTTTGTATTGAAAATCAATGATCGGGGATGGCCGTGGTGGCTCACGCCTGTAATCCCATCACTTTGGGAGGCCAAAGTGGGAGGATCGCTTGAGCCCAGGAGTTGGAGACCAACCTAGGCAACATAGCCACACTCTCTCTCTACGAAAGATTAAAGATTAGCTGGATGTGGTGATGCATGCTTGTGGTCTCAGCTATCCTGGAGGCTGAGACAGGAGAATCGGTTGAGTCTGGGAGTTCAAGGCTACAGTGAACTGTGATCAAGCCACTGCACTCCAGCCTGGGCAACAGAGTGAGACTCTGTCTCAGAATCTTTTTTTTTTTTTAAAAAGAGTCAGTGATCATCCCAACCCCTGTTGCTGTTCATCCTGAGCCTGCCTTCTCTGGCTTTGCCCCCTAGGTTATGTCTCCATGATCCATAGGCCCTGCCCAATCTGGCCTCACACCCTGGGAATGCCTCCAGATTTATCTAGTATTGTGTGGAACAGCAAGTGCTGGCTGTCCCTCCCCTTCCACAGCTCTGGGTATGGGAGGGGGTTGTCCAGCCTCCAGCCTCATAGGAAGGGCCTTGATCAGCATCTAGGTGCCTGCAGGGCAGGGGCGGAGTCCTGCAGAATAAAGCCCTTTCTAGGGCTTTACAGGGAGGCTCCCCAGCTCCAAGCTCACCGCCTGGCTGTGGACATCTGTGTCAGCATGTGGGTCCTGGTTCTCTTCATCGCCTTGTCTGTGGGGTGCACTGGTGAGATGGACGGATAAAGGAAAGGGGGCGGGTTCTGCCTCTTATGCTGAAGCCCTTTCCCTCCCACCCAGTGCCCCGGCCTCGTCCCTTCAGCCCACAGTTCATCCCAGACAATGTGCCCCTGACTCCTCCACAAGGCAGTAGTCCTCATGCCCACACTAGGTCCCCGCTCCCTCCCACTTACCTCAGACCTTTCTCCCCATTGCCCAGCCAAATCCCTGCTCCCAGCCGCTTTACTAAAGAGTAAGTTCCCGGGCATCTCTGTGTTTCTCTTTATGGGGCTCAAAACCTTTCAAGGACCTCTCTCCATGCCATTGGTTCCTTGGACCCTATCATCGGGCCGCCTCCTGAGCCCCTCAGTCCTACCACAGTCTACTGACTTGTCCCATTCAGCTGTGAGCATTCAACCCTGTGCCCTGGCCCTTGACACCTGACTTCCCAGCCTTGTCCCAGGAAACGGAGATTCCACCGGATTCCACCGGATTCCACCGGACACTTCCTTCTTCCCCCAAGGCTGTCTGGCCTAAGACAACAAATGCTGCCCCCACTCCCAGTCTGGCACTGGGGCTCCGAAAACTGCTCCTTCCCTGACTCTTTGCCCCAGGCTCTTCATTCAGTGGCCAGCCTTTTCCACGGGAAAAATACGAGCACCCCCAGCCACATCCCCAACCACAACAGCCAGTTCTCTGATGCCCTAAATCTGCACCCTTTTCAAAACCTCAGAAACAAAACAAAACAAAGCGAGAAACAACCCAGACAGAACGGTTTGCTTAACCTTGGACATGGTAAACCGTCCCAAACCTCCCTCTCCCAGCAACTAAACCTCTCCACTGGGCACTTATCCCTGGTTTCTGGAACCCCTTATTCTCTTAGAACCCACAGCTTCCACCATAGTTTCCCTTCTCCCAGTGTAAGACCCCAAATCACTCCAAATGACCCAACCCCCAACCCGATGCCTGCTCCAGATGCTGTCCCATGTCCCCTACTCTGATCTCGGGTCAGCTCTGCTCTCAGAGTGTGAAGTCTCCCCACCTGGTCCAGCCACCAACCTGCCAACGCAGGGAATAGCTACAGAATTCCCAGCCCTCCCAGGACCCCTTGCTTGTGTCCTGGACTCCCAGTCCTGGTCCTCTGCCCCCGTATCTCTTCAAACCCACAGCTCAGCTCCCTCCCCTATCCAATTCTTCTGGGTCTGATCCCCCTGACCCAGCACCCCCTCTGCAGGTGCAGTGCCCCTCATCCAGTCTCGGATTGTGGGAGGCTGGGAGTGCGAGAAGCATTCCCAACCCTGGCAGGCGGCTGTGTACAGTCATGGATGGGCACACTGTGGGGATGTCCTGGTGCACCCCCAGTGGGTGCTCACAGCTGCCCATTGCCTAAAGAAGTAAGTAGGATCCTGGGAACTGGGGAGGGAACGTCTGTGTCCCACAGGAATAACAGCTGGATACTTCTCCCAGGGTCACTTCTTAGGTGAGACTTCAGACTAAAGGAGAGAGGGAAAGTCCTGGCCCAGGTTGCACTGGGAGGCAGGGCTGGGGCTGGACCACCCTCCCCATGGCTGCCTGTGTCTCTCTCTGTGTCTGATCTCACTGTGTCTCTTGGTATCTGGCTCTGGTTGTGTCTGTATGGTTGTGTCTGTATGTGTTTTGGTCTCTATCTCCCCCTCTTTTTTCTGTCTCCCTGTCTTGGTGTCTCCCCCATCTCTGTGTGTCTCTGGATCTCTCTGCGGCCATCTCTGTCACCTTGTGTCTCACCCTCCATCTCTTTGCCTGTCTTTCTCCTGGGTCTCTGCCTCAGCCCTTCCTCATCACTACTGAATACACCCAGATGGGCCTGTGACAGTGGGTGGGGAGCACCCCGAAAAAGGAAGGGCTTTAAGCTCAGTGTGTGTGTGTGTGTGTGTGTGTGTGTGTGTGAGGGAGTGCCTGTCACTGCACAGCACTCTCTCCAGGACATCCTTCCATCCTGGGGAGACACAGGAAAGGCTGGTTTCAGCTGCAGCTGGGTGCACAATTGAGGAGGGAGGAAGGAGAAGGAGAAACAAGAAAGGAGGGGGAAGGTGGCCAGGCACAGTGGCCCACGCCTGTAATCCCAGCACTTTGATAGGCCAAGATGGGTGGATCACCTGAGGTCAGGAGTTCGAGACCAGCCTGGCCAACATGGCGAAACCTCATCTCTACTAAAAATACAAAAAGTAGCCAGGCGTGGTGGCGCATGCCTTTAATCCCAGTTACTAGGGAGGCTGGGGCAAGAGAATTGCTTGAACCTGGGAGGCGGAGGTTGCAGTGAGCCGAGATCGTGCCACTGCACTCCAGCTGGTGACAGAGCAAGACTCCATCTCAGAAACAAACAAACAAACAACAACTACAAAAACAAACAAAAACAAAAGCGAAAGGAGGGGAAAGGAGCTGGAGAAAGAAGGGAGGATGTGGCCCTGAGCCCCAGCTGCAGGTGAGCCACCCTCACGCCTCTCCTCCTCCCCCTGCTACCCCACACCCCTCAGGTGCCTGCGTGGCCTCCCTCCTTTTTGTCTCCCACACTGTATCACCCCTGGCTTCCTCTCTGCTGTTTCTCCTTCTCTCTCTGACTTCCCACGTCCTTTTCTCATTTGTCCATTTCCACTCCCTTCCTGGTTCTGTTCCTTCTCCCTTCCTCTTGCCTGCGTCTGTTTCTCACTGTCTCTGTCTCTTCTTTGCTCATCCTAATTCTCACTGTTCTCCTCTCTGCTTTTGTCATTCCTCTGCCTTTTTGTGCTCTCTCTTTTCCACTTCGTTTCTCTCAGTTTCTGTGTCTGCCTCTCACACAATCACACTCCTGTTCTCTAATTCACTGTCTGTGTTTCACCACGACTTGTCTCCCCCACCCCTGCTTTTCTCTGTTTCTTTTTCTCCCCTTTGGAGTCTCCCTTATCCTCCCCTGCCCCATCTACCTTTCCCCATTTTCTCTCTCCTCATGCATCCACCCCTTTCCTCCCCAGGAATAGCCAGTTCTGGCTGGGTCGGCACAACCTGTTTGAGCCTGAAGACACCGGCCAGAGGGTCCCTGTCAGCCACAGCTTCCCACACCCGCTCTACAATATGAGCCTTCTGAAGTGTCGAAGCCTTAGACCGGATGAAGACTCCAGCCACGGCCTCATGCTGCTCCGCCTGTCAGAGCCTGCCAAGATCACAGATGCTGTGAAGGTCCTGGGCCTGCCCACCCAGGAGCCAGCACTGGGGACCACCTGCTATGCCTCAGGCTGGGGCAGCATCCAACCAAAGGAGTGTACGCCTGGGCCAGATGGTGTAGCTGGGAGCCCAGATGCCTGGGTCTGAGGGAAGTGGGGCCAAAGAACCAGGTGGGGTCCGGCCACAGCCCAGTTTTTGCTCTGACCCGTAGTCCTGCGCCCAAAGAGTCTTCAGTGTGTGAACCTCCATCTCCTGTCCAATGACATGTGTGCCGGAGCTTACTCTGAGAAGGTGACAGTGTTCATGTTGTGTGCTGGGCTCTGGACAGGTGGTAAAGACACTTGTGGGGTGAGTCATCCTTACTCCCAACATCTGGAGGGGAAAGGTGAGTGGAGACCCTAATTCTGGGCTGGGATCTGAAAGCCAACCAGGCATCTGCCTCCCCTGCTCCCCAGCTGTAGCCACGCCCCCTCCCCATGCCTCATCTGCCATCCTCCTCCCCCCTTCCCTGACTCCCTCAACGCAACAGGTGATTCTCACAGCATAATCCACCCATTCCTGTGTTGAGCACATGCTTACTGGGCACCTGCTGCGTGACCAGCATTGCCATAGGCCCTGGGAAGCAGCAGTGAACAGACAGCTGAACAGAGAGCAGCCCCCATGCCGGTGAGGGGCACGGGCAGGGACGGGGACCACTACGCGGAAATGCTGGAGGGTGTCAGGAAGTGACTGGGCTCTGGGGCAGGGAGGAGGGGTGGGGAGTGTGACTGGGAGGGGACATCCTGCAGAAGGTAGGAGTGAGCAAACACCTGCTGCAGGGGAAGGCATAGCCCTGCGGCACCTGGGGGAGCAGAGGGAGCAGCACCTGCCCAGGCCTGGGAGGAGGAGCCTGGAGGGTGTGAGGAGCAGCGAGGGGTCTGCATGGCTGGAGTGAGAGATAAGGGGCAGGGTGCGAGATGGCCTCACACGGGGAAGAGAGGGCCCCTTCCGGAGGGCCTCCCCTGGGCCACAGGAGGACATACTTTTCCTCAGAGGAGTCAGTAGCTAGGGATGGTGCTGGACAGAAGCGGGAAAGGGCCTGGCTTAGGTGTCCAGAGGCTGCTGCTGGCCTCCCTGTGGGATCAGCCTGCAGGGAGGGAGGGCAGCCGGGGTGCTGGGGAAGTGATGATGAGGATGACCTGGGGTGGCTCCAGGCCTTGTCCCCACCGGGGCCCTCACCCAGCCTCCCTCAGTCTCCTGGCCCTCAGTCTCTCCCCTCCACTCCATTCTCCACCTGGCCCCAGTGGGTCATTGTGATCACTGAACTGACCATGGCCAGCCCTGCCTGTGGCCCTCCGTGGCTCCCAGATGCCCTGGAGAGGGGACATCTAGTCAGAGAGTAGTCCTGGAGAGGTGGCCCCTGTGATGTACCTGCAGATGGTCCTGCTCCTCCTCCCACTGACCTGTCTGCAGGGACTGTCCTCCTGGACCCCGCCGCCTGTGCAGGAGCTGGATCCTGAAGTCCCTTCCCCATAGGCCAGGACTGGAGCCTTGTTCCCTCTGTTGGACTCTCTGCCCATACTCTTGTGGGAGTGAGTTCTGGAGACATTTCTCTCTGTCCCTGAGAGCTGGGGAATTGCTCTCAGTCATCTACCTGCACAGTTCTGAGAGATGGAGTTGCCTAGGCATATATTGGGGCCAATCTTTCTCACTGTGTCTCTCCCCGTTTACCCTTAGGGTGATTCTGGGAGTCCACTTGTCTGTAATGGTGTGCTTCAGGGTATCACGTCATGGGGCCCTGAGCCTTGTGCCCTGCCTGAAAAGCCTGCTGTGTACACCAAGGTGGTGCATTACCGGAAGTAGATCAAGGACACCATCGCAGCCAACCCCCTGAGTGCCCCCGTCCCACCCCTACCTCTAGTAGATTTAAGTCCACCTCACGTTCTGGCATCACTTGGCCTTTCTGGATGCTGGACACCTGAAGCTTGGAACTCACCTGGCCAAAGCTTGAGCCTCCTGAGTCCTACGGACCTGTGCTCTCTGGTGTGGATTCCAGGGCTGCTAGGAAAAGGAATGGGCAGACACAGGTGTAGGCCAGTGTTTCTGAAATTCGTGTAATTTCATCCTCTCCTTCGGAACACTGGCCGTGTCTGGAGACTTCTCACTCAGTTTCAGTGAGGACACACACAAGGACGCGGGTGACCATGTTGTTTGTGGGGTGCAGAGACGGGAGGGGTGGGGCCCACCCTGGAAGAGCGGACAGTGACACAAGGTGGACACTCTCTACAGATCACTGAACATAAGCTGGAGGCACAACGTATGAGGCACGCGCACAGCAAGGATGACACTGAAAACGTAACCCACTCTGTCCTGGGAGCACTGGGAAGCCTAGAGAAGACCGTGAGCAGAAAGAAGGGGAGGGTCCTCCTGTGTTGTTGAAGGAGGGACTAAGGGGAGAAACTGGAAGCTGATTAATTATAGGAGACGTGTTCAGGTCCCCCAGCCACCGTCAGATTTGATGATTTCCTAGCGGGACTTCCAGAAATAGAGAGCCATCATGCTGTGGTTTATTATGGTTTGTTACATCGATAGGATACCTATTGAAATCAGCAAACAAAACAGACGTATAGATTACAGTGTGGAGAAAACAGAGGAAAACTTGTAGTTACGAAGATGAGCAACTTGGCTTTACTAAGTTTTCAGACTGTCAGGAAGTCAAAGCTATTAGGCTGAGGACCTTGTGGAGTGTAGCTGATCCAGCTGATAAAGGAACTGGCCAGGTGGGGGCCTTTCCCTTTGGATGGAGGGCATATCTGACAGTTATTCTCTCCAAGTAGAGTCTTATGGACAGCACGTAATTCTCCCTGCAAGGATACATGATAATATGTATGAAGTAATCCCAACTAAGGAAGCTCACCTGATCCTTAGTGTCCAGGGTTTTTACTGGGGGTCTGTAGGATGAGTATGGAGTACTTGAATAATTGACCTTAAGTCCTCAGACCTGAGGTTCCCTAGAGTTCAAACAGATACAGCACGGCCCAGAGTCCCAGATGTACAAAAACAGGCATGCATCACAAATCCCATTTTTAGCATGAAGCGTCTGGCATGGCCCAAGGCCCCAAGTATACCAAGGCACTTGGGCAGAACAGTCCAAGGAATCAAATATCATCTCCCAGGAGTTATTCAAGGATGAGCCCTTTACTTGGAATGTACAGGTTTTGAGCAGTGCAGGGCTGCTGCGTCAACCTTTTACTGTACAGGGGGTGAGGGAAAGGGAGAGGATGAGGAAACCGCCCTGGGGATTTGGTTTGGTCTTGTGATCAGGTGATCTATGGAGCTATCCTTACAAAGAAGAATCCAGAAATAGGGGAAAATAGAGGAATGACACTGAACTCAAAGAGCATTCAATCATTGTTTTATTTGCCTTCTTTTCACACCATCGGTGAGGGAGGAATTCCCACCCTGGGGTTATGAAGATGGTTGAACACCCCACACATAGCACTGGAGATATGAGATCAACAGTTTCTTAGCCACAGAGATTCACAGCCTAGAGCAGGAGGACACTGCACACCATGCAGGATGACATGGGGGATGCGCTCAGGATTGGCATGAAGAAGCAAGGACTGTGAGAGGCAGGCTTTAGAGTAACAAGAGGGTGGGGTGAACTCTGATTTCCATGGGGGAATGTCACGGTTTTGTTTTACTAAGTTTTGAGACTGGAAGGTAGTGAGACTCATTAGACTAACAACCTTGTGGATGCAACTGACCCGGCTGATGGAGGAAGTAGCCAGGTAGGAGCCTTTCCCAGTGGGTGTGGGACATGTCTGGCAAGAGTAGGAGATTTTGTGGCACTCCTGGTTACAGATATACTGAGGCAGCAAATAAAATTGAATCTTGTTTTCTGACCTTATACTGTGTAATTGTAAATGGATATTTAGTAACGTACAGGGGGTCAGGGAAATAATGGGGACAGGGGATAATGAGTGCACCTGTGGGACTGGTTTGGTTTTGTGATTGAGTATCCTATGGAGTGATCTCTGCAATGATGAATTGTTTGAAAGAATTCCAATAGATTTTATATTGAATCAGAAGTTAACTTAATAAGCATGCTGAAAGATAAAAGAAGATACTAGGAATATTGAGCAAGGCGAACATACATAAAATATGAGAAAAAGTAGGTAGGAAATATTAGGTAGGAAAAATATGCTAGTTGAAAAAAGTAAAAAAAAAAAAAATGGATTAATAGAATTTGATAGAGGTGAAGAACGCAATAGTGACATTTTAGACCAGATTGAAGGACAGAAAGAAAAATGTCAAAGAAATACTGAACGATGTGAGTGCTGGAAGTGTAGATACTGACACTAAAGACTCAGGAAGAGAAAAAAATAGGAGAGGAGGAAACACATGACTAAACACTGAAGGCAGGTTATTTATTTATTTAGTTATTTTATTTTTTATTTATTATTATTTTTTTGAGACAGAGTTTCGCTCTTGTCACCCAGGCTGGAGAGCAATGGCACGATCTCGGCTCACTGCAACCCTTGCCTCCCAGTTCAAGCGATTCTCCTGTCTCAGCCTCCCAAGTAGCTGGGATTACAGGTGTGCACCACCACACCTGGCTAATTTTTGCAGTTTTAGTAGAGACGGGGTTTCTCCATGTTGGTCAGACTGGTCTCGAACTCCCGACCTCAGGTGATCCGCCTGCCTTGGCATCCCAAAGTGCTGGGATTGATTACAGGCATGAGCCACTGTGCCCAGCCTGAAGGTAAGTTTTATGGAATTTAAAATATCCGAACAATCTCAGATCAATAGAATCCATAGAGTGTGACTGAGTCAAAAGAAGGAAAGGCTACGAGACAAAAAAGAAAACTAGAATTGTAATTGACAAAGCCCTGGAGAGAAAGGATATTAGAAATATTGAAGGAAAAGAATGTAGAACTAGAATATAAATTCATTCCAGCAGTTTGGCAGTGTGTATCAATAGCCTTCTTTAGACAATGTAACATTCTCATACATTGCTTAAGGGAGTATAAATTGGTATCCTCATTTTAGAAAATGATTTAGCAGTATATGTTGCAGCTGAATATATGCATGACCTATCAGTATCAATCTTAGAAATATACTCCTTAGAAACACTTCATATTTTCATAAAAATCCTCATACAAGAAAGTTCATCGCATCCTCAAACCAGAAACCACCCAAATGTTTATCTATAGGATAATGGAAAAATAAATGGCATATTCGTACCAATGAATAGTGTGTGTAGTGAACGAGGATTATGTTTCATCCAAGACAGAGGTGGGGCTTTAAAGAAACTACCACAAGAACACAAAGGGAAAACCAGAGATGGAGAGACAGCAGAGGAGATAGAATCTGAGACAGACAGTGACAAAATTGGGAAGAGGAAAAACAAGGTAGCCGGAGACACACAGAGACACATAGGCAAACAGGAAGACAGCGTCCCCTCGTGGTCAACATCACAGCTTCTGTTTATTAAGCACCTAATGTGTCACAACTGCACAGATTCCATTGACCCATGGGTCCTCTCCCTCTCCTCCCCAAGGAGGCAGCATGCAGGAGCTCAACCAGGCAGAGAACCCAGGAGTCCTGAGGTGGTTGCATGAATGGACGGCATACACTAAATGAAGAAGTGCTAGACCTGCCCTGGTGTACAGGGCACGAGGGATTTAAAGGCTTTGGGTGATGGGAACTTGATCATACATTCATCATTATGACCTGCACACCAACCCTGGGAGGCTCCAGAGGGCGCACTTTTCACTACAACAGGAGAAATGAATTTGTGAGGGGAGTATCAGCGTCCTTGAAGAGCTGTATGATCCCTCATCTGTGTAGGTCAGAAATTATGTGGAAATGGCTGACACTGAAGCAGGAAATCTCAATTCAGTGAGGATACTTGGATACCAAGATGGTTCGGGCCAAGTGATGCTAATTTCACCAAAATGTGGGCATGGTTATTGCAATGGACGGCACAGTCAACACAGTAATCATGATAGTCTGACTTCAGAGACCTGTGGTGCTGGCTAATTGATCACGGTGTTCCTGGAAGAGAAATAGGTAGGAAAAGACTAAATTATTTCTGTGTAATCAGAAGACTTATTGGGTCCAGTGAAGAGAAGTATAATTTGAATCATAAAAGCAAAGAATCCTGGCCCATCGTTCAAGTCATAAACTTGAGTCAGTTTTCAGATGTTTTGGAGATTATCGGACCCTGGTTCTTAACTGACACTAATTCCAAGAGACCCAAAACACGACTGTAGTCCAGCAATCAGTGTAGCGCCTGGTGGTCAGCAGTTGTGGCCGAGGCCCATCTCACAGTGCGTCCCGTGGGTCCCTGACCCTACCCTTTGGGTATTTCATCAATTACAGAATAATGCATAACTGGGACAGGCATGCTGAGGAAGTGACAGAATTTCCACAAGGGCTTTCAGACCTGTGGATGAGGGATGTTACGCCAGACAAGTCCAGGTGGAAGTCACCAGGACTTACCCCCACCTAGGGAAATCATAAACCAAAAGCAAGACTGCATTTCTACAGGGATTACGGAGGTTGGTGACACTGTCAATGACTGAAGGACGCAGGGTTGGTGGTTCCCACTACATTCACATCCAGTTCACCTATTTGGCCCATGCTGAAAACAGAGAGATCTTCAGGGATGATAGAGGGTTATCCTAAGTATAACCAGGAGTGCATTTCATTACAGCTCTTCATGTGGCTTCATAGCTTGAGCAAATAACACATCTCCTGGTACCTCATATGCAGTCATTGACCTGGTAAATTTTTTGTTTCCACCTCAATATCTGTGGATAAAGGCAACCAGCAGCAGTTCGTTTTCAACCGGCAAGGCTTTGTTATCAATGACTATCCTCTGAGTGTCTCAGGGGTGATGCATCTGCTATCACTTCTGATCTTTCTAACATGTATCTTCTGTTTTTTTGGTCTTCGTCATCCTGGCTAGAGAATTACCAATGTTATCGATCTTTTACAATAAACAGTTGTTTTAGTTGATTTTCTCTATAGGTTACTTGTTTTAAATTTCACCCATTTCTGCCATAATTTTTATTATTTATTTTCTTAGGTTTGCTTTAGGCTTAAGTTGCTCTCTGGGTCCATGGGAGGTTGGACTGGAAGCTGGGATTCAGAGTGGGAGGCTGGGAGTGGGGCCAGATAGAGGGTGTGGTTACAGGTGAGTCTTTGGGGCTGGAGAAGATGTGGGGGGCTAGGTGGGATGTGGCTAGCGTCTGATGGGCTGTGGTGCACCCAGGGGTCTGTCCTAGTGTCTGAGGGAACAACAGATCATCTGGAGATGTGAGATATGAAAACCAAGAGGAAGAGCGTGTTGGGGAGGGGAAAAGACAAGGGTGGTGAAAGGAAGTTTTTTGCACAGCAGTTGGGATGAATTTGTATCTGGAGAGATTCAGGTGGGCCCAGGAAGGTTCAGCTTCACCCTAGTTTACACTCCCCGCAAAGGAGGGACCAGTGGTTACACCCCCGGTCCTTCCTTTGTCATGTGGATACACCCAGCTGAATCCCCTCCTATCTCTCTCTCCAGCTGCCCAGGTGCAACCTCAGGGCCCACGTGTTTGTCAAGAACTCTGAGGGGCTGACATTTTATTAACTTAAAAACAAAAAGTTGTCCTACCACACCTTCATGGGTATTGGCAGAACACACCAGAACCTGGTCAGAGACAAAGGACTTGATTTATTTGGCACAGCCGGCAGCGTGAGGTTCATGTACATATGGGTTCACCTAGCCCGAGTCCTATAGGGTGACCAGAGCAGTCCAGGTGGATTGGTGGATTTTGTCCTCAAAGTGGTTTGTGCCACTGAAGAGGATCCTGAGTTTCAGAATCCTCAGTCTTACAAGGGGGTGCTAGCAAACCTGCCCAGCCTTTGGCTTTTATTTTTTAAAGAGACAATGTCTCTTTAAATGTCTCAAATGTCTCAATCTGCTCTACTGGGTCCATATCCGAATGCCTGGCCTCTGGGTCTGTGCCTGTAACTTTGAACCACCACACACTGGCTTGTGCATGAATCGCAGGGTTGACCTTGACTCTCATATCCGGTCCTGTGATTATGTCTGAATGACTTTGGCCATATTTGTCTCTCAAATCTGAATATCCACACATACGTGTTCCTAAATCCCTATATCTTTTTTTTGTTGTTGTTGAGACAGAGTCTCCCTCTGTCACCCAGGCTGGAGTGCAGTGGTGTGATCTCGGCTCACTGCAAGCTCCACCTCCCGGGTTCACGCCATTCTTCTGCCTCAGCCTCCCCAGTAGCTGGGACTACAGGCGCCAGCCACCATGTCCGGCTAGTTTTTTGTATTTTTTAGTAGAGACGGGGTTTCACCGTGTTAGCCAGGATGGTCTCGATCTCCTGACCTCGTGATCCGCCCGTCTCGGCCTCCCAAAGTGCTGGGATTACAGGCTTGAGCCACCGCGCCCAGCCTAAATCCCTATATCTTACATTAAATTTATTTATGCTAATATTTATTAAGCATTTACTATATGCTGTGTGTCTTCCACCCATCTAATCTTTACAGCAACCTCCAATTTGCAGATGAAATGGAGGCACAGTGAGATCAAAGAATTTTCTCAAAGTCTCAAAGCTGATATTTTTGAATGCAGGTGGTCAGACTCTGGGTGTAACCACCATACTCATAGCTGTGAATCAGTGTCTGGGATCCTGAGTGCGTATCTCCGTCTCTTCCCTTTGTAATCTTATTAAGCAGCCAACCTTGTACGTCCAGACGCTGTGTGCAAGTGCGTACCCATGTGACCTTGCACACCCAGAGCCACACTGGAGGTTATGAATTTAGGTTTGATCTCTTATGTCCAAATCTGTGTCTATGAATGTGTATGTGTGTGTGTGTGTGCTTACACCCATGCC